GCTTCAAGGAAGAAGAGCCCAGACACTCACCTAGATGATGAACACACATACACATAAATAGGAAGCAAGACCCTAATTAACTTAGCAAGACCCTATCTCTAAATAAAATAAAATTAAATTGAAAAAGGGCTGGGAATGTAGCTCAGTGGCTAAGCACCCCTAGATTCAATCACCAGTAAACCCCCATTCACAAAAAATCTTCTGAATACCTACTTCAACGTTACACATAAGTACCTGCTGGTATACAAGAATATAGAAAAGAAATTAAGTTATGTGCCTTAACATTACAATAAAGCCAATCTACGTTTTCATTCAGATTTCCCAGGGTTATCAACAGGAATGATGTATGTGGTATAGGTAACTTCTAAGTAAATGCCTGAACTCACCTAACAAAGATAAATGGAAAGCAAATGGAAGCAGGTAGATTTGAAGTAGGGAATAAGAAAGAGAGAGCTGAGGCAAATCTTGCGGACTGATGTCTGGTTCCTGTTAATAAAGGGCAGAACAGCTCACCTGTCCCTATATAAGAAAAATTAAGCAAATCATCAAGGCAATTTTTGGATAATTAATTTCAGAAAATTAATTATCTGGACCTAAAATATTCCAGATCACTGATGAGAAGATGAATTCTTGAATCGTCATAATAGTGCCATACTATTAGTTTTACTTTCTTGGCTATTAACTAATCAGATAGCTATTCTATGCCTTCCTAAGTATTTCCAAGTCTCCATCTTGTTCATAGCTTTTCCACTACCTGAGCTGAAAGACTCTCCTTTTCAAGGAATAATGCAAAGCAACTCTTGGATACAGAGTGGTCAACTTTAGAATTGGATCCCTAATGTACCGTAACAGTTTTGGAAGCATCAAAATAAATATAAGAAGCAATCTTCAGGATACCACAAAATTGCTAATCTAACAAGATGTCCTAAGTAAAGATTTTTTTCACTATATAGTAACAAATGCAAACACATAGAAATGGATAATATAGTTACAAAACAATCTAAGTTAAGGTGGCTCCTATCCTTGGGAATCAGAACCAAGGATCACAAGAATATAGATCATTTCTTTACTTCCTTTTTTTTTCTTTTTCTTAACCACTGAGCCATATCCCCACTCATTTTTTTTTTTTTTTTTTTTGAGACAAGTTCTTGCTAAATTGTTCAGGGCCTCCCTAAGTTGCTACGGCTGGCTTCAAACCTGCGAACCTGCTACCTCAGCCTTCTGAGCCACTGGGCCCAGCTATACATCATTTCTTGAAAGATACATGAAAGCTCAAATCAAAGTTCCCATACAACTTTTTTATTATTTTTCAAGGATTACAACATAGATCACATTTTCCTTTCCTATACATTTTCTGGCTTTTTGCTCTTAACTTAACACATATGACACCTATATCCCAGTGATTTCTAAAATTTACTGGATGACACACTGAATTCCTCACACTTAAGACTTTTTAATCTTAAAAATATTAAGAACTGTGAGTCTCCAAAGTAGGTGGCAACAATATAACGAGTATAACATGGACACAGTATTTTCCTAGACAGCTGACCCAAGCCATATTTGCTGTAATGCTAATAATGACTAAATGAAACTCTGGCCTATTCTGTTCCGTGGCCATAGGCTGCACTAATTTCCAGCAATCTTTCTGGAAGATGCACGCAGCACATCACAGGTGAATTTAAGGGAGCAATTCAAAGCAATTCTCATTACAGGAAAAGTAATGACCTAGTACTATGCCTTCATTTGAAAAGTCTCATCAGCCTTATATTGCTATCTTTTGAATAAAATACTAATATAACATTATAATGCTCTTTCTAGTTCTTGAATCCTGAAATTGTACATTCTGTTTCTTTCCAAACCTCATATGTAAGAAAGAATATATAGATGAGTAACTCCTTTTAAATTCTTACCATTTTTTCCTTTGGTAAAAATCAAATTTGTGAATAAAAAGTTTTCCTCTGCAAGGACAAAATTTAAATCTAGAAATGTCTATCTCCTAACTTTATAATATAGAATACGAATATAAAAACAATAAACTCCTTATAACCATCACCACAGTCAGAAAGAGAGCAGAAAGTCAGAAAAAGTACAAAGCACTGAAAGGCTGGATGTGTGAAGGATGCCAGGAGAGGGGGGAGGGTTTCAGGAGGTTCTAGGCAAGCCCTCTGATGACGTCACCTCACATACATAATGTTACAGCAGTCAGCACAGGCCTCCTGCTTTCTTATTGGAGAACACTGTGTCAGCCGACATCAGAAGATAATCATCATTGGCTAGACAATTACAACCGGAGCAACTAGCATCCACTGTTGTTAGCACAAACCTGGCAGGCTGCTGAAAGAGGAGGAAGCAGAGCCTGGCTTTCCCTCTCACTCAATGAATTTTATGTTGCCTTACCAATCTTTTCCCTTGCTAGCAGCACTTACGAATCAAGTCAGCTATTAGTGAGAATAACAGGTAAAGGCCAGACATCTCATAAAAGAACAACGTGTCTCTATTTTCAATGCTGTAAAATCACAAGGGCTTTTCAGTGTAAAATTGGAACTCAAAAACACTACTTGGAGCTAAAAGCAGGCAATTTCCTCTACCTCATGTAAGAAACTCTCACCCAGATAATATTACTCAAGATATTTTTAACTGGACATGTAGTTTTAGGATGTGCCTCAGGATGATTCTTCAGGGATATACTTATTACTTCCCATTTTTTTTGCTAATTTATTATATATGAAACTATTTAATACAAAAATTAATTTTTTTTGTATGTAGTGCTGCAGATCAAACCCAGTGCCTCACACATGTGAGGCCAGCACTCAGCCACTGAGCTACAACACCAGCCCCTGATAAAAAAAAAAATGTTTAAAAACTACAGTATTTACTTCATGTCTAGGCCAATGAATATCAGTTTAAACATTAAAGCAATAAACTTGATAGACTTGTGTCAGTCCAACCCTTTAAAATATATAAAAACACCACTTCAAAAATAGGGCCCCATTCCCTGAATGTTTGCTAAGTTAGCAGGTCAGAATTATAGAGTGTTTAACAAATTCTTACTCTAGATCCTCTTGAATGATGCTGGTTAGCACAGCCAAAATACAGGCAAAGCACCATTCCTGGCCCTTCTCACAATTGTTCAAAAGCCTGTTGAGCTCATTTATGACAGAAACATTCTAATTCCCTAAATTAGTAAGTAAGTTTTGTTTGAGGCTATGTCTCAGATTTTTAATGACAATTACAAATAAATTCTCAAAAGACAAGGTAGGCGGGCTAAAGTTGTGGCTGAGGGGTAGAGAGCTCACCTAGCACATGGGGGGGGGGGTTCTGGGTTAGATCCTCAACACCACATAAAATAAAATAAAGGTATTGTGTCCAACTATAACTAAAAAACAAAATATTTAAAAAAAAAAAAGACAGGGTAGAAGCTTCTCTTCATGGTGTCTTTCTTCCAGAAGTTATTTTAAACCATTTTAAGAGAATGGGTCTGAGAAAGTTAAGACTGTGGTTTCCTAAAATTTCCCCTCCCCAAAAAGGTCTATGCCCTTCTGTTAACAAAGGAAATTCTTTTTTAAAAATCTTAATTTTTTTCTTATACACCTATCTGAAGATTTTTCGGCTGTTTTGAGGGTAAAGACAGTTCTAAAATTAGACCACCAGGCTACTGGGAGAAATGCACTGGGGTAAAAGGAGAAAGCAGGACAATTAGTGTCAAGAAGAGTTACAAGAAAGGTGTAGCTGCCAGCAGGGCTCTTGGACTGTAATATGCAATTCACGAACATAAAATTAACAAACAAGGCAGCAGGAAGGGAAAAATCACAAACTGATTATAACATGGATTGAAAATGCAAGGGAAGGACAAGCATGTTAAATCTTGGATATATTTTGATTTAAATCACTGGATAAGCATTTCCCAGGCATCTATCAGGTGCTTTGAAACATCAAAAATGGAATAAAGATTGTACTCTAAAGATCTGATGGTCTGGTAGAGGGCACATATATAAATTTATAAGTACCAGGAAAAGATATTGCCAGAAGACAGATAAAGAGCCAGGAGGAAACAGTGGTAAGGGCTTAACAGGCAAACAGATTGGTGCCATTTTTGCTATTTTCAGTCCTGTGAGTACTAATTCAGCGAACGCAGAGAAGAGGCGGGAAATGGTCCTGGGACAGGCATAGGAAGTGGCCTTAGAGGAAAAAGCAACAGACAAATAAGAGGCACTATCGACCGCGGTGGTGTAAGGAAGGGCCAACAGTGAATGGAATCAGCCGGCAGGGCAAGGGGAAGCCGACTCCAGAAAGGCAGATCCAACCAGGAGGCACCCAGTCATGGGCACAGCAAACATTAAAAAATGTAGAGCACACGGGGCTACTGGAGGAGAAAGATAGGCACAAGTAGTGCAGCAAGAAAAGATACGAAAAACGGCTGCAGAGAAGACCTGAGCCCTAAGCCGGCCAGGAGCTCTCTCCCGCCGTCCGCCGGCTTGGGTCACCGCCCCCTCCCTGCCTTCAGCGCCACCCTCTAAGCGGGAGGAGGAAGTGCAACTAGGGAAGCACCCAGGTGGCGGGGCACGAGGGGGCTCGGCTTCCCCAAAATGCCCCGGTCTCCTCACATCTCATCTCCAACGACAGCCGGAGTCGCGGTATACAACCTCCTTCGGACCCAGCCCCGGGGATCTCTGCCTTGGTGGCCTGAGAAGGCACCTAGCCCCCTTCACCCCGTGCCTGCTGCATTTCCCGTCCTTCTTAGCAGCTCGCGCTCCCCTAGTAAAATACAGTGTGACCGGACGCAGCCCTGGGGCCTTCGGCCCACGGCGCCCACCAGCCACGCCGCAGCCCGCTGCAGCCCGAGAGAACACGCGGCGTCCGCCCCCGGGCAGGCCCAGCCCTGCTGGCGCGCGCGGGCAGGGGGAAGGCTCCGCCCGGATGCGGCCGCAAATGGCCAGTGGGCCCGTGGCCGACGGGCTGAAAACTAAGGCGTGTGCACGCCTGCCCGGAGGTGAGAGGAGCGTAGCAGCCGTGCCTTCAGACTCCGATTTGCGACTCCGGGGGGCTGAGAGAGAATAAGTAGAACCCCTTACCCGAGGCAGTGGCCCCGAGGCACCCCCTCCTACTGCACCAGCCCGCCCCTGCCCGGAGCGCGCCAGCGTCTCCAGTTTCCCATTGATGAGCCGAGGGAGGGAGGGAAGGCAGATTCCGCACGCGGCGGCGGAATCTCCCAGCGCCCCGGGTCCCCTAGGGTAGGACCCTCCGCTATCAAGCCCCAGGAGGCGGCCGGCCACTGCCCAACTACGGGGAACGTTTTGCTTGCACTTTACAGAAAGCCAGACCCGGGATTAAGGGAAGGAGGGAAACGTCTGCCACAGCTCAGTCTAAGAGGAAGAAGCAAGCTGAGTACAACCTCCCCTGTTAAATATTGCAAGGTGACACAGGATCGCCTCCCACACAGGGATTTTCAAAAGGACTAGGGGAGGAAACACAGTAAACAGGAATGATGTTTTCCCGAGGTGAAGTTTTTCTGTGTAAGATCTCCCAAGGACTCTTCAGACCGAGGGGTTTCTAATCTGTGTGCCTGAACTCCCAACAGCAGCTTGGCACTGAATTAGAAGTGAGTGTGTCCAAAAGGCGTTTCCGTAAAACAGAAACTTAATAATGGCGTGGCTCCACTCGTTCGGGTTCATTCATTTTTATTACAGTTTTCATTGTCCCCTCCTCTCCGCCCCTCCACCCCCAGTCTCTTTATGAAACCGGAAAGGGATCCGCGTGGGGAAAGGGGTCCTAGAAAGGAGGCATCCGGCTGGGGAGCGGCAGACAAGAGGAGAGCAGTGAAGTAGAAGAGCTGCAAGGAGAAAGGAAGGACACCAGGGATGGGGAGAAAGCAAGGACCAGAGCCGAGGGCGGCGGGCGGGAGAGGGTTAAAAGAGAGCCAGCGATAGGGTCCTCCCTCCATGGCTTTGCACAGTTCGGTTGCAAGAGGCCAAGCAGAAAAAAAAAAAAAAAAAATCCCAAATCTAGATAAAAGCCAGGAGGTAGCACAGGTGGGGAATCCGGACTATGGCATCTCTCTTGCCTTCCCTGTCGCGCAGACATCACTCCTGGCACACATATATGTTCTATGTTATATAATCTATATAAAGATGCCTGCTTGGTCGCGGTTCACACAGGGCACCCACCGACCTCGCGCTCATGCAGCCCCAGTGTCTCTGAGACCTAGGAACTCCGCGTTTGGCTGACTGCTGCCCGCGATTCACCGCTCCATTCACGCCCAGACAGGGAAATACCGACATGAATGCACTCCAGGGAGACGCACAGGGCTCCCGGGAACAGTATCACGCGAAAGCATCACCTACCAGTTTTCCTGCATCCATTGGATCGCTTCATTCTCGTTGAACTGCTTTTCGAATTCATATTCTTGTAAAGTCAACACTGACATGTTCATTGGGGCTGATCTTCGGAGTCCCTACGTGTTCTCTACACAAAATAAAATAATCTGTAAAGCGCTTGATTTCGAGTGCTCTCCTGTCTGCTTCCCCCACCCACCCCCCTAGGTCTTCCCCGGCCTCTCAGTCTCCGGCAGTCGATCTCTCTCCCAGCCTCCTCTCACAGCTACATCCAGGGTTGAGCATTGCCTGTGCCACGGCTCCCCGGTCCTCGCTCTGGGGTTCTCCTCCTCCCGGCGTCCGCATCCACCGTAGGAGGAAATGAATGCCTTGCGGTCTTAGTGCCCGCACGTTTGTCCATCACGCTTTTTACTCGTCTACAGGGAAATCTCCTCCCCCTCATGCGATCGGAAAATTAACCCCTTGCCAGGGAGGGCGCGAAAGAGCGAGACCTCTCCCAGCCCAGGGGGGCAGTTTTGTTGACGCGAAGGTGGCTGGAGGAGTGGGGGAAGGGCACGGAAAGGGAGGAAGTGCCCTGGAGGTCACCCACAAACCTCAGTCCCAACCTCGTGGGCCTTTTTTTGCCCTCCCTGTAAATGAAGTTTCGGCGTGCGGAGCTCAGCCCGGAGGCGCGTGGACCCACGAGCCTGGAGAGTAAACAATTGGGAAATAGTAAAACCTGCCAGCTCGCTCTTGCAGGAGAACTCCAGGCTGCTCTCGAATCGCACGTGAAGGGAAGGCAGGTCTACCTCCGCGACCCCGGGGGACCCTCCGGAACCTCCCCCAGCCCCACCCGGGAGCTCTAGCTTTGACTCACGTTTTCCAGGGGCCGGCTGGCCCGCAGAGCTCTTCGATCGCGTGCAGACTGGGGATGCTGAGGATGAGGACGGTCGAAAGTCAAAGGAGACTAGGAGCCGGAAGTGGGAGGAAGAGCAGAGGGGCATAGGTGGAGGTTTGGGTTAGGGGAGAGGGATAATTAACGAACAGAGGCAAAGGAGGAAAGGAACTTAGCATATAGAACTGGACCAACTGGTCCAATGCAAAAACTTTATTTGTATGCATGAGTAATTTTGCTTTATTTATTATACATGTAGGTAGAACAGAAGAATAATGCTTGAGGAGAGGGCTGAATGTAATGTTGACCACAGCTGAACCCCCGCATCCTCATTTTAACCTCAACTTCCACACACACTCCCCTTTCTTTTCCTGGAGAGAATAATATTTTCTGCTTCCTAGGTCCCCTCATTCATTTCCCAGCAAAAGTTGGGGGAAATGAAATATGAGACACGGAAGTGTAATAATCTAATATTTGGATGTAACAGTAAACAAAAATAAATAGTAATCAGCAGCCCATGCATTTAACCTTAGGTACACATTAGGACCAGGAACATAATTTCTTTTCTCTGGTGTCCATTTACCCCACTTACCAAGTAGGCTGAAGAGGGGGTATTTTATTTAAACTTAGGTGCCCCTAATCTCTGAAAAGTGGGAACTGAGATAAATATCTCTATAAGAGGAAGGTAGAAGAAATTAAAGAAAGAGACAGGGTTAAAACATTTCAATATAATGTTACATAAATCAAAAGGGCTAGACTTGATGATTAGCATATTAATATATAAGTTGACACACCTAAAGATCCACTTACAGACTTTATCTCTGGAGTTAAGACCCAGACCAAAACACTAGGCAAAATTAGGCTCAAAGGTGGGTGTGGTCAGATGAAAGATAAAAGATTTTAGCATAGTGCCTGGGCCTACAAGCAATCAATCAATATTTGTGAGGTGAATGGATGATTGATTAAATAAATGAAAGAAATTAGGGAAATAAAAAAGGAATCGAGACTAAGAAAATCCAGGAAAGGCCTCATTGTCCGTTGCAAGGAAAGAATTCCTTTTGTCTAAGAAGAGTTCAGTTTTTAAATTCATTATTCTTACTAGTCATCATAGAAATTTCCAAGTAATTTGAGAAATTCACATTTTTTTATCATGGTCCTTATTCATATAATGTCTCTTGCTTATGTTCCAAAGATGGATTTGGGATTATGTTTAAATTATCTGAATTGATCTTACCTATGTTAAAAAGAAAAAAATGTTCCAAAATGAGAGATAAGTTCCTATCTTGACCTTTCAAGAGGACAGTTCTAAAAAATGATAAATGCTTGTTAGAATAAAGAAATTATTCACAACAGGCATGGTTATTGATGGTGAAAACTGGTGATTTCTCTGCAAACCAGTTCGGCAGCTTATATGACAATTCTAATCCACACCATTTTAAATTTCCAGATATTACTTGAGCATATATACTCATCTGAACTCTTACAACTTAGTGGAGAATAAGAAAGATAGAGCTCCTGCTGACTTGAGGCTCACATTCCAGAGGGGAAGAAAGAGCAATTCTTAAAACAGTGGAATGCTAACATTACCATGAAGAGTGTTCACACCAACCTGGAAGGCCTTACTGAGGAAGTGACTTTGAGTTGAGACCTCACTGACATAGAGCAGCTACCTCTTGAAGTGTGTTACAAAGAAGAAAAAAACATGTACAAAGACCCTGAGGTAGAGCTTGCAGCATTCAGGACAAAGGCTGGGGTGATAATCAAAGTGGAGGAATTAGTTGGTGGGTGAGTTGGCAGGGATCAAGTGTTAACCCCAAGTAAACCACAAGAAGGTATTTGGATTTTATTCTAATTGCAATGGGTGTGTGAATGGAGGTGTCAGATTAAAGGGTGTTAAAATAAGAAAACAGCATGATAATTTTCAGTAATTTCACTGCTAGGAATTTACAGATATATTTAAGAAACATTCTAGACACAGTAATATGCACAAGATATAGCACTATTTGTAATATCAAAACACAGGAAGTAATAGAGAACTGATTAAACAAATGGTGGCAGACCTTGATCATGGAATATTATGAAATCTTTTTTAAAAATGATTCTATATTGGGGCTGGGGATGTGGCTCAAGTGGTAGTGCGCTCACCTGGCATGCGTGTGGCCCGGGTTCCATCCTCAGCACCACATACAAACAAAGACACTGTGTCTGCCGAAAACTAAAAACTAAAATTCTCTCTCTCTCTCTTTAAAAAAAAAAAAAAAAAAAAAAAAAAAAGATTCTATAAGTTGCAACATTGAAAGAGCTTCCTGAAATATGTTTAATGAAAATTAAAAAGCAAGGTGCAGGGCATTGCATATGGTACTACATTAAGAAAAAACATCTATGTTGTACATATATATTTTTTCTGAAAAGAGAGAAGAGTTTGTTGGTGACTTATATATTTAGGGAAATAGCAAATTAAGGGGAATTTTTAACTAACTTTTCACACTGTTTGCATTTCTGTGATATTTGAATTTTCTTACTATGAACTTGTATTTTTTTTTAAAGTCAACAGGAGTTAGTAATAAGATAGCAGGTCACTTTTCTATTTAATTTTTTATATTAAAAAGAATAACATGTAATGTAATGTTATAAGTAAAATACTTTAAAATGGTAATGTTTCTAGACTGAGTTTAAATTACAAGACATACTCTAAGGTTAGGAAAGACAGAAGGGAATGTTGGGAGAGAGCCCAGCAGCACCACTAAGAATTTTTATGAAAAGATTTATTGTGTGTGTTTGTAAGCCATAACCAGATAGGTAGCTAATATTGAATATAAATAACTGGGACTCAAAAAAAATAACAGTTAATTTATACTTAGTATTTAAAAATTTTAAAGGTAGGCCAGAGAAGAAGGAGCATTTCATAAAACCAGAAAGATTTACTGCAGAGATGACTACTAAACCAATGATCCAGATTTCAGACCTTGCTATGAGACCTCAGGGAAAGTAGATTCATCCTTTAATCTCCTTTTCTACATATAAAATAACAATATTTGACCCAATGATCTTGATAGCAGCTCAGGATATCTCTAGCATATGAATATGTTAAAATATACACACATTGTTTCTGGGGACCTTTTCACCCTGACTTGCTTTTCTAGAACTCTTTTCATAGGCTAACTCCAACCAACTGTGCACCACTTGACATCTCTAAACATGTTAAGCTTTGCCCCATTCAGTGCTTTACTTCAGTAGAACCCTTTATTTTGAATACTTTTCCCTCCCAATCTAACTCCCATTTTTCTGCCTATTAAATTCAGTCCATTTTTGGAGTACTGATATACTACCCCACATTTGAGGCCTTTTCTGTTCACAAAGGCTTTTCTCTCTGTTGCCTCCTACACTCTTAAAAGTTTTTGTTAATCATGACTCTGATAGACTTTAGTTCAGTCCTTCAGGGTCTTGCCCTAGCTCATCCTCTTCCCTATAGAAGATTATAAATTTCCTTAAGCACAGAGACCATGACGACTGATTTATTAGTTTCTTAGAACTTCCATGACAAATTACTACCATTACCCTAAATGGGAGCAGAGAGATTCTCCAAAAATAATGAGTTTATTCCAGAAAGAGTAGGACAGGTGTACTATGCATGCCATAGTAAACTTTGGGTGTATTCAGAAGGCAAAAGTTTTTAAAGATAAAGATTTTTAGAGGTAAAGGGAGAAGGGTTGCATAAATTGTCTTGAAACCACCATCTTTGGTTTACAAGGATCAATAATGAGGGTGGCCACTTTTGTCCAAGGTTAGGCAGGCTGCTGCTGGGCAGAGGTCCTCACAGATGTATTTCTTGTGTGAGGTTCCTGTGGTCTTGAGGCAAGGTCATGGTCAGCAAATCTCCTGTGCTACTTCTTGTAATCAGACATGAGATCCCCTCCTTTGTGACTTCCCGGCTTTCCTTATGTATTCTTGTTAGGATTTGACACAAGTGACTCCATTTTGATTCTGACAACTTTCACACCAAAAACTTGGCAGCCAAAAATGATTAAAATTTTACGTTCTCATCATTCTGGAAGCTAGAAGTCTCAGATCAAGGTGCCAGCAGGACTGGTTCCTTCTGGAGGCTCTGAGTAGAAAAAAAAAAAAAAAATCTTGCCATTTCTTTCTTTGGCTTCTTTGGTTTCTGTCATCCCTTGGCATTCCTTGGTTCATACACATGTCACTTCAGTCTTCAGTCTGTCTCCATTTTCATATCACCTTCTCTGTGTCCTTTTTTCCCTCTCTTTCTTTTTTTTTATTTGTTCTAATTAGTTATACATGACAGTAGAATGCATTTTGACACTCTGTTCACAAATGGACCATAACTTCTCATTCCTCTGGCTATACAGGGTGCTGAGTCACACCAGTAGTGTAATTATAAATGTATAGAGGGTGATAATGTCTGTCTCATTCAACCATCTTTCCAACAATTCCCACAGCCCCACCCCTCCCCTCTCTCTCCTCTGCATAATCCAAAATTCCTGCATTCTTCCCTACCCCACCCCTACTATCGGTCAGCATCTGCTTATCAGAGAAAGCATTCGGCATTTGGTTTTTTGAGACTGGCATATGATATTCTCTCGTTCCATTCATTTACCTGCAAATGCCATAATTTCTTTCTTCTTTAA